TGTTTCTTCTTTAAGTCGTTTTAATATTATTCTTACTGCTATTTTGCTCATTGCAGGTAATAAGCTAATAGGTCTGTAATTCTGTGGGAATTTTGAATCTTTGCCTGGTTTTTTAATCATTATAACGTCCGCTTTTTTCCAGTTGGTAGGGAAGTAGTGAAGTCTTAAAATTGCGTTGATTATATTGGTTAAAAAAACGATGGCTTTGTTCGGAAAATTTTTTAGTGCACGGTTTGAAATCATGTCACACCCTTGCGCTTTTTTGGCTACAGCAAACTTGAGTATGTCCTTGACCTTCTGTGGTGATGTTACAGCGATATTGTCCAATACTTCATCTTCAGATTCCATAGATTCCTCTACTTCCTCCGTAAATTCTATATCTTCGTCTTCGTGTTGGTTTTCGATGCACTCCAATTCGAGCGTTGCTATAAACGCTTCTGTTTTTTCTATGTCCGTGTGTGCGAGTCCATTTTGTCCGTGTAGTGATGGTATTTTTGGTCTGCCTGTCCTGAGTACTTTTTGGAGTTTCCAAAAGGGTGATTTCTGGGGGTCAAGTTCCTCCAGGAAATTTTTCCATTGTTCGTTTTTGTGTAGTAGAAGTTCCAGTTTTACCTGTTTTTTGAGTCTGTTTGCCTCTCGTTTGTCTGTAGTCAACCTTGTCCTGTGTGCTCTCTTTCGAGCGCGTCGTTTCAGCACTATTAGATCTTTCAGTTCCTGACTGATGTTTCTAAATTGACTAGGTCTTGCTACCTCTGAGAAACGGGTAGAACGGGAGACGTGTGCCGTTTAGTCAGAGATAGAATTTTCGAGACGACCGTCTGGAGACTTCTAGTAGGAGTTGGACTTAATATAAATAGCCGACTCGTCGGCGGACAGTTTAGTTGAATATAGAATGTTGTATTGAAAAGTAAAAGTGTAAGAAATAAATTAGAATTGTTAGTTAGTGTCTAAGTATTATATAAATTAAATAGTACGTCTGAAAAATTGTAAATAGTGTGTTTTTAAATAAATAAACTAAAAATAAATTAGACTATCGTCACATTATTATTTTGGTTTACAGTAGAGATGGTCGATACCTTATTTTTAGATTCATCGGGATACAGGTGCCGGTGATTTAAAAATCACAGTGATTCTTAACAGTGATCGGTGATTTTTTACGATAAACGTATAAGTTCATGAGACTGTGATATCGATAAATCCTTATCGACTGTGAATGCGGTTCAGAAATCGACAGCGTGCATATCGATGAAAAGTATTACACATATAATATAAAATATTAATTTTTAAATCAATTAATGTTTTTATAAAAGAACAATATAAATAAAAGCACATTTTTTAATGTTTGTTTTTATGATTTCCTTATAGTAACTTCCCAAAATATTAAAACATTTTTTGGAATTTATATAGATATTTTGTGATTTAAAAGAATATATTTAATATAGTATTCCTATCTTCTTTTCCTAAAAGTAAAAAAGTTTTAGTTGTCTCAAATTTTTTGTGACTTATTACTGATGTTTTCTTCCAAAGACACAGAGTAGGGTGATTTGCTTTTATGTGTTTCTTTAAATTTGAATTTGTAGTTTTACAAAAAACTTTTTCGATAAATGTCACGTTAAAAATAAGGATACACAAGTACAAAATTCCACTAAACTTTATCCTTTTTGATTTTAATTGTTGAGACATTTTCAAAACTGTATTAATATCTAGGTAAATGAATATGACAGCGAAAAATACCCACTTGGAGAACAAAAAACTGCATCTCAAAATAAATACATTAATAAAATATTTATTACTTCGTAACTGGTCGCTAATTACGGTGGTAAGTTCAATATATCACGATCCAGGTGGTTTTTTTTTTAACTGCTATGATCATTGGTGAATAGCGCGCACAGATTCATCCTTTCAACGGATAAAAATAATTATCGTTAAACACGTTTCACCGACCGAGTTAAAATCACCTGTCAACAATAAAACTCAATTAGCGGTAGCGCCAATGATTTTCAAATCACCGGTGAAAAGTAACCGATAATGATATATTGACCACCTCTAGCTTGCAGTATCGGAACATCTGGATAGTTATTCACTGAGTCATGAGAGCGCTCCCATGGGAGTGCTCCCATATATTTTGCTCTCTTACTCTTAGATGGATATATCGTGCTTATTCACTTTTAGCCCAGGTACATGCGTAGTAAGGTCAGATTTTATACCATGCGAGGGAGAATTGCGGGCTTGCCAGATTTAGGTCCGTATTTATCACAAAGGAAATTTGAACTATTTAGGACCGATTCCACCGTTGTGTTAAACGAAATTTAAAATGACATTTTTACATTAACAATGTCACTTTAATCTCCGTTTAACATAACGGTGGAATCGGCTCTTAAATAGTAGATCAAAGTTATTCTGTCGACTTGGCAACGTTGGCATGGGAGTATGGGAGCATGGGAGTATGGGAGTGCTCCCATGAGTTAGAGAATAGGTATCCTGTTTGTAGTAAGGATGGTACCTGTGACCGGTTAATCGGGTAATTGGTTCTTAGGACCAAAAATCCGTTAAAGAACGTAACCGGTTTAACCGTAACCAGTTTAACAGTAATTGGTTTTAACGTAACCGGTTTAACCGGCACCGGTTTATAATCGTATTTATGTGTACCAGCCACATCAAATTTCAGTAAACTGGTGTTTTTCAGTGCAGGAAACATTGTTTCGGCGAAAAGAAACTGCTTGCTGCCGGAGAACGTTGATAAGTTGATATTTTTGCATCAAAACTCAATTATAAAAAAATAGGAAGTTTTGTTATTAGTTATTTGTTATTACTTCTTATTTTATGTCACAATTAATTATAATTTATTTTTGAATGTTTGTTTTTACTTGAACATAGTTTATGTTTTTGTTTTTTAGTTTTACGTTCTTACCCGCCCAGTGGGAAGTAAGTGAGTGTGTCATATTTTAAATTTTAAATCAATTTTAGCAGAAGTAAAATTGGTAGTATTTCTATTATTCTAATTTAATTTTTATTCAGTGAGTGGCTATTTTAAAAAAAATCTGATGTGTCCAACACATGACTTTCCTATCTAGTTATTATAGGCTTTTTCCGGTTATTTTGTACAATCTATTGAAGCATTTCTATAAATGGTTAGAGGATAAACTAAATATATGCATTGTCCACATACATCTACCTCGAAACATTTTTCTATTAATATTCATTGAAAACGAAAATACTGAAAAATTTAAATTTAGCACTTTTCCATTACGGTCCATTTTAGAAAAATCGTGTATAAACAAAAATTAGAGAGGTCGATATCGCAAACAACTTTTAGTTCAACAATTTTCATAAAAATCAGAATTTTGCACATTTTGTCAAATTTCTCGAATACGGACCATTTCAGGAAATTTTGATATAAATCAAAAATTATAGATAAAAATATTAGAAGTAACTTTTATTTGAACAATTTTCTTCTCCAAACATAAATAACATATATTCCATAAAATATAAAAACGGCGTCTTATAAAGTACCCCCCCAGATGTTCCGACTTTATCCAAAATCTAATCATTTCACGTCAGGCCGAAATAAACCTTAAGTTTAAAATTTAATGTTTTTTTCTTAATCCGTTTTTGAGTTTTCTTCAAAATTCGAAAATTACACATTTTCTCAAATATCTCGAATACGGTCCATTTTAGAGAAATTATGTATGGAATAAAAATTATTTTTATTTGAACAGTTTTTATAAAAAAATATTTTTTTTACATTTTGTCAAATTTCTCGAATACAGACCATTTTAGGAAAATTTTGTAAAACACAAAAATTATAGATAATTATATTATAAGTAACTTTTATTTAAAATATTTTCTTCTCTAAAAGTAAATAACAGATATATTCCATAAAATATAAAAATGACCACCCATAAAGTACCCTCCCAGATGTTCCGACTCTGACCAAAATCTGATCAGTTCATTAGACGCTAGAATAAAGCTTAAGTTTAAAATTTGGTGTTTTTCTGTGTATTGGTTCATGAGTTATGCGTTATACAGACACACACAAGTAGAAGTGTGTAATGTGACACTTCCCAACCTTCAATGACGTTAGTAATGACAACATTACATATATGATTGTAAATAAAAAATATTTTTAGTTCTTAATGTAGTACTAAATTAATAACTTAATTTAGTACTTAATTTAGTATCGTGACATACAGCCTTTAGACAATCAGTTATTGTAAAATACATATTATTTTGTGCTATTGTGGAATATTTTTCGATTCCTGTCTCACCTTCGCGCTCTAAGTTTAGAATATGTATCCCTCTTATCTACATGCAATTTTGTTAAAATTATGAATTAATGTTGATTTTGTTTAGTCTCGGAAGTAGTTTTGTAGCATTTAGGCTCCACACTTTTACACCTACTAAACTACCGTTGCCCCGCAGGTCTTTCAGTTTGTAACGTATTTTTTTTTATTGTGGTATCATTTAGGGGTAATAAACATTGAAAATGTGACTAAAGTTCCAACTCAAAACATTTGAATTTCACAGCCAATTCCAATTGATTTTTTCCGATGGCTCTTTAGTAGCATAGTGGTAAAATAATACATTTTTGGTATTGTGGTTAAGTTTTAGTTTTTCTTCACAAATATTGATCATAATTTGAGAAAAATTAGTTTTTTTGTTCTTTCTTAAAATAATTATGAACAGAAAACTAGAAGAATAAACAAAAATGAGTACGGATGGTCAATGTCAAACTGGCCATTAGGTAGGACTTATCTTAACGATTAAACTGTTCATAGTCCTTTTAAATAATTGAGCAATATTCAATAATAATTAAGATAACCAATAACCTAATTTTCTTCGTCAATTCAAAAACCTAATAACCCTACCTGATCGTGATCAATCTGTCACGAAAATCTCCCCACCAACAAAATTATTTAAACAAATAAATTCAAGACCCTCATTGCTATTATCTATCTCGCCGAAAGGTGAAATATTTATAGCGACCACATCGCAGTAGGCGCGCAAGAATTCACCGGCTTGAACAATCAAGCGTGCTTCGGTAGCGTAAAAAATAGATGCACATGTTATTAAGTGCATACGCGGTACCTACATTTTATTGCATAAAAATTGAAAATATTTCGTTAAATTTTAGTGAAATTCGTGTATTAGACTGAAATAATTACAAGAAGATTTTGTAAAACCTTATATGATCGGTTTTCGTTATTATTCTCTTTGCGGGTTCATTACCAAGTTGGGTACTTGGGTACCAACATTTTTATGAAAAAATAGTGATCTATTTCTTGATTTTTAGTGCGTATGTTAATTTTAAATCAAAATACATTTTTTATACGCAATTTTAATACAATACATAGTTTTTTTTTGAAATGTCGTTATTATCGCAAGTGTTTAGTTTGGCTTTAAATTTTATAAGTTTCCCGTTCGCCGAACCTGATGGTAATACAAGACTTGCACGAAGTGATGATTCCATTTTTCCTTTTGACGTTTTGAGAAACATGCCCGAACCATGTACAACCCATACATTTGAAATGGGTAAGTTTTAAAATAATTTCGATTTTTGTTTTTGTTTAAATTTTTTAAATTTGCTTAAAAATAGTACAAGATTCTAACGTGTAATTATTATTCATCTGTTTATTAATCAAAAAAAATTTTATATATATTTATTGATAGAAAAATACGGTTTTGCCAGGTTGCCTGTCAAAATTTGGCCGCAAGTCTCGATTTTAAACCACAAGTCCCGATTTAACGAGTGTACCGATTTTGTCCCGCTTTTTACTGATTTCAAAAAAAATCTGTATATATTTCATACAAGCCGCCTAAAAATACAATTATTATTCGAATGTGTCATAAAACGGCGTTTTTTGAGAAAAAACATAATCGAAAAGAGGAACTTTTAAATATGCTATATAAAAAATCTGATGTGTCCAACACATGACTTACCTATCTAGTTATTACAGGCTTTTTTCGGTTATTTTGTACAACCTATTGTAGCACCTCTGTAAATATTTAGAGGTTAACTTAATATATACATTTTTCACATACGTCTAACACAAAACATTTTTCTATATACACTCATTGTCAACGAAAATGCTAAAAAAATTAAATTTTCTACTTTTCCTCCAATTTTTCCATTTCGGTCCATTTTAGAGAAATCATGTAAAAAACAAAAATTATAGAGAATAATATTAGATGTATCTTTTATTTAAAGAATTTTCTTCTCCAAACGTAAGTAACAGATATATTTCATAAAATATAAAAATAACACCATATAAAGTACCCTCTAAATATTCGGAATAAAGCATGAGTTTTAAATTCAAGGTATTTTCTTTATCCGTTTTTGAGTTTTCTTTAAAATTTACATTTTTTCACAAATATCTCGAATACGGTCCATTTTAGAGTAATTATGTATGAGACAAGAATTATTGAGAATTATATCACAAACAAGTTTTATTTAAACAATTTTCTTAAAAATTTGAAATTTTACATTTTGTAAAATTTCTCAAATACAGACCATTTAGAAAAAAAATTTATAAAACATAAACTATAGAGAATAATATAAGAAGTAACTTTTGTATAAACAATTTTCTTCTCAAAACAAAAATAACTAATGTACTCCATAAAATATAAAAACGACCCTATATAAAGTACCTCCCCAGATGTTCCGACACATTTTCTCAAATATCTCGAATACGGTCCATTTTAGGAAAATTTTGTCTAGAACAAAAATTAAAGAGAAATATAATATAAGAAGTAACCTGTTTTTGAAGAATTATGATTCGTATACTTTCCTTATCTGTATACAGATAGGAAAGTAAAAAGGGGAACTTTTAAATACACTATCTACATATTCTGTTTTATTTTTGATTTGTTTTTTAATACTGTTGACAATATTTTTTTGCTATTGTAAAATAGTAGTCCATAATCCATATGTACATCAAATTTGAATAGAAACATTTTTAATTGAATAAGAGAAAAACTAAACAAACTATAATTAAATCGATTTGAAATAAATTCACTCACATGACAGTAATTGTTCAATTCTTCTCAAAAATATAACTCCCTAGTTATTCTTATCAATAACGGCTATCTCAGTTATAGGAAAAATTGAAAATAATATAATTTCAAGGGGTGGGTGGCTCAGTGGTACAGTCTCTGCCTGTGGATCCAAGGGTTCCAGGTTCGAATATCACCGTTGGCCGGGATTTTTTTATTTAATTTATTTATTTAAAATTAATTCTGATGCCTTGGTAGGATTCCCCACTCGACCATTCACTGTTGGGTTCTAATTAACAGTGCTGTTCCCAAAGTGGCGCTGGGAAACAGTAACAAAGCCTACACAGAACATGAGGCTAACGACCTTAGCAATCGATGCCGATGACATCAAATTAAAAAAAAATATATCATATCATAATTAATTTTCTCTTTATTTTTTTATCCATTAGCATATTCGAATAAAAAACTAAATGAATGACTTATAATGCTTGGCATTCTATATTATACTCCTCACAGTTTAACAAACCCCCCCCCCCCCTTAACCCCCATCTCCAATAAAATTTTTTTCAGAATCAATACACTTCATCCCCTTTTCTTGGAGGTTTTAATTCGATATCGTTTTTCTATTTCTAAGTTAGGATATTTTTTAATATTTTAACCCCACTTATCCCCCAAATTTGATTTAGTTCTTTTTTTCAGAATCAATAGGCTTTATTCCCTTATAGAGCTTGATAATTAATAAAAATTTCATGTTGATATAGTTTTTGGGGTTTTATTCCTATTTTTTTTTATTTCAGCCTCCTTAACCCCTTATTTTGTACACAATTTTTTTTCAACTGTTTTTGTCCCCTTATAGAGCTTAATTTTTGATAAAAAAATTTAAGTTGATAATATTTTTCGTTTTTGAGTTATGATTTTGTTTTAATTTCAACCCCCCTTAAACGCCTCATTTTTATTGGGATATTTTTTCAAATTTTAAGGGATTTCTCCCATATTGAGCTTGATTTTTTTGAAGTTAATATTGTTTTTCGTTTTTTAAATATTTTAACCCCTCTTAACCCATCATTTTTATTCAGAATTTTTTCAGAATCAATGGGCTTCATCCCCTTAAATTTAACATCGGTTTTTGTTTCTGAGTTAGAATTTTTTTAATATTTCGATCCCCCTTATGCCTGCATTTTTACTTATTTTTCCTTTTTCAGAATTAATAGGCTTCATTCCTATGTAGATCTTGATTTTTAATTAATATTTCATGTTAATAATGCTTTTCATTTTTGATTTATGATTTTTTTATTTTAAGCCCCCTTCCTTGAACCCCCTCATTTTTAATCAGGGTGTTTTTTCTTTATATAGAGCATGTTTTTTTGCTATAAATTTCAAGTTAATATCATTTTTCGTTACTGAGTTAGGATTTTTTTATTATATAAAAGTCCATTGTCCCCCATTTTTTTTAGGCTTCATTTTTTTTACTAAAAATTTCATGTTGGTATCGATTTTAATTTTTGATTTAATTTTTTTTTTATTTTAGCTCACCTAACCCCCCATTTTGTTTACAATTTTTTTTTAATCAATTAACTTTTTTACCCTTATAGAGTTTGATTTTTACTAAAAATTTCATGTTGATATCGTTTTTTGGTTTTTTAAAAATTTCAACCCCTCGTTAACCCCTCATTTTTATTCAGATTTTTTTTTTAGAATTATTGGGCTTCATCTTCTTATATAGCTTGATTTGGCAAAAAAATGTCTTATTGATATCGCTTTTCTTTTTTTTTTTGATTTATGATTTTTGTTAATTTCAACTTCCTTTAATCCATTTTTTTTTTTTTTTTTAATTAGTAAGCTTTATCTTCTTATAGAGCCTAATTTTTGGTTGATATCAATTTTCATTTTACAGTTAGGAATTTTTTTAATGTTTCAACCCCCCTTAACCCCCATTTGTATTTAGATTTTATTTAAATCAATAGGCTTCGTCCCCTCATAGAACTTGATTTTTCCTGAAATTTTTAAATAACGTAACATAAACTAGGTACTATTTTATTTTGTGACAACATGAGAAATATTTTTGTAACAAATTTAAAATATAACCAACTAATTTATTAGGGTTCAGTTTTATTATTAATAAATAACAATAGTTATGTATTATTGTTTCTTTGTTAGTATATGTTAATAATGATGCATAGTCAGTTTTTATTTTATACCCCTCCCCTCTCTTCCATGTTGATTTGTCCCATTTTCTACTTTTCAAAATATGGTCACTTTACCGCAAATTACAAAAAACATAAACGGTTGATTCTTTGACCAAAATTAAGGTGGGTTTAACATTATTCTAGTGATAATCAATCATTTGCCACTTTATAGCTCACAGAAGGAAGGTTCCAAAACTTTTCTTAGTTTTTTATAAATTGCTTGATTATTTTTAAAATCTTTTATTTACCGAATTTGTTGTCTAGTTATAAATAATCCAAAAAAGTATATGAAATTTATAATTAAAAAGGTAAATAAAAAACTTTCTGAATTTTAAACGTTCTCGAATTGACTCAGTAGGAAATTACACAACAAATAACAGTTATATGAAAAACTTTATAAAACAAATTTGAAGTTCATTTAGATCAAATTGTAACGACTTGTTTGAGTTATTTTGTATAGCATAATGTTGTTTTTAACAAATTTTGAGTAAAGTTAAATTAGAAGTAATGATAGGCTCTTTTCTTTTTCTTTTTCTTTTTTCTGTACTTGGAAAAACGTAATTATTTTGTATTGTTTATTCAGAATCTTTGGTACTGCCATCTGTTTATGTTACAAAATGTGGGTACTCATCATTATCACTGAATCAATGCTTATTATCAGAAAGGCCTTTTACTGTGTCTGCCAAATGTTCCTGAATAGGAACAAATCAAAATTGTTGTAAGAATGACGGTTATTTCTAATTAGAAACTTATTATCATCTGTTTTCATTACGAAAATATTTAGTATTTTTATTTTAATAATTTACGTATACTTCTACAGATTTTGTTCACTACACAACTATATAAGTTGGCCCAACGAAAACTTGACATGTTTTGGGTATTAATATCGTGCATGTTAAAAAATGCTCGGACAGGTTGATTTTAATTTGGAGGTACACTTCTTTTTCTTATAACAGCATCCTTACTACCCTGAATTAGTGGGATGAACAACTCCTACAAAAGAACGCTAAAATCAAAAGTAACTTAATAAATAGTCTTATTGCCGAATTCTCTATCAATACTTTTTTAATATTATGTCATCCATGGCACTTCTCTATTTACATTTTCGGAGTTGTTCACTCCGCTGTTCGAGGGTTAAAGTGACGATGCTGCAATAAGAAAAAAAACTGTGTCCCCTCTAAACTTAAATCGACTTGTCCAAACGTTTTTTAACATCCACGATATTAATAACCAAAACCCCTATATCAAGTTTTCGTTGGGCCACCTTGTATACTAAATAATCATAATTTCCGGCAAGCCAATGTGTATTTTCAATATTCCAATCATGGAGTTTAAAATTCGCAATTACGTACG